GAGACAACGGTGAAAACAACGCGAGGTCGTTCAGCAACACGCGCTCACGCTCGTGCACCCACCAGAGGCGACGACGGGAAGGGAGGGAGAGGCAACGGCGAGGAGGAAGGGAGCGGCTATGACGGGGCGGGAGGGAGAGGCCATGGCGGGATGGGAGGGAGAGGCGACGGCGGTTGGGAGGAGGGAGAGGCGCTGGCGGGATGGGAGGGAGAGGATACTGGGATTGGAGAAAACGGGATAGCTATGTAGTCATAAGAACCAAGAACCAAGAACTCACCAAGAACCAAAATCAAGAACCAAGAACCAAGAACCAAGAAGAGAGGAGCGTCAAATTGGAGTTGAAGTGTGAAAGGAAAAAATACAGTTGTTTCTCGTTAGAATAGTGTGTAATGTATGGGGCAGATTCGATTCACATTGTTAAGGTGATTGTATTGTTAGGGCAGAATAAACTTGGCATGGACAATAATTCATTTAGGTGTATATGTAGAAACATGAGCAAGATACTAATTTGAAAGATGTGTCACGTAAAACACACGCATAACTACGTTATCAAACTACAGCTGAAAACAACGAACCCACTATAGTAATTGGATGGTGCAATATAGTAAGATGGAGCTAAAACAAAATGTTTATTATAATAAAAAATATCATCACTGTCCAAATCGTTGCCTTTTAATACTAGACAAGCGTACAAACATGTACTTAATTATACTTTTCTCTAATATGTCTTCTCCATTAGTATAATAAATAATGTTCTTTCATATGTTTCTTATACCACTAGAAACAACTCTACGCAACCCTTACGACGTTCATCGTCGAGCCTTGTTTTTTTTTTTTTTTTTTGGTAGGTGAAATATGCACTATACACGTACAATGCAAAAACACCACGGTCGTAACCGGTGCTAGAGGGCATAGGTAGTGTATACTACCGTACCCTCCCTGATCTCTACGGAGGCTTATAGACCAAACGCCTAAACATTTCAGCTTGCCCGCCACAAAAACCTATTGTGCCGTTGTCACACTTCAGTACTTGCAGAAGCATCTCGATACATTCCTCATGTTGGTTTTGTCGCTTTAGCTTTGGTGGCTTGGCTCCTCCGAACCTGCCTTCCCTGGTCTGGTGAGGTTGGTTTGCGACAGAAGCAGCTCTGGGTCGCCGCTGCTGAACAAGGCCTTGGTGACGAATGTGACGCTTCAGCCTTGGTCGATTGGCTCTGACCTTGCCTTGCTGAGATTGGTGGAGTTGGGTTACAGGAGAAATTGCCCTGCTTAGAAGTTGATGCCTGACAGGGCCTTAGGGACGACGAATGTTTCCAGTCACACTTGCAGTCGTTCGAGCTTGTGTGAGCGGTGTGATAGGAGCAGCTGAGAGCAAAACACCTTCAGAGGGAAAAACACCTCGAGTAGCTTGCCTTGATTCATGGCGCCGAAACACTCTGACGGCGTCATCTATTTCCTCCAAATGAAAATATGCTTCTTGTAACGTAGGGAAAATTCCAGAATCGACTTCTGTCTTCCTGTTCTTCAGAATCTTAAAGTCGGAATAACCTTCTTCACACATTCCAGTAGGAAAATAGTCAACGTCTTGAAATACTCTAGGAGCCGTGCCAAAATTTCGTGAAACGTCCCGTTCCGCCGACGTCATAAATTCAATCTGATGGAAAATTGGCTCTGGTCCATCCTTGATCGTTCCTGCTAGTGATTGAGGTGGTCTCTGCACTTGACTATGAGCTTCCTCTCTCTTTGGTAGACGATGAATCGCAGCAAAGGCAGATAAACGAAATATGTTCCGTTGTCCAGCCTCCTTGTACTTGCACTTTCCGCTTCTTTGTCTTGAACCTGTCTTGTTTTCACGGTGCCATCTTAAGCGACGGTTTGACCCGACCATTTTAACTTCCTTAGAGTAACTTGAATGTCTTGAGCTTAAAAACAGTTGCTTAACCTGAAAAACAGAGATCTTCATAGAAGCAGTTACGACTAACCGATGTTCGCTCTGTGAACACAATGTTGGCGTCATAAACAAGCTCTTGATGAGTAGATCCCGGATCTGTATTCAGATGGTCGAACTGATAGAGCTAAGCATGACATTGAGTAAGTTGAAGTTCTCAGAAGGAGCCATGGCGGAGAGCCATTCATCGAACGGTTGAATCAAGGGAAGATCGGTAGTGCAATTCTCGTTCACTTACCTGTTTTCCAGTTTCATTCAGAAACTCATGTAGCGCAATGAAGTGAGAACAATGTGTACAGAACCGAAGTAGCTCGAATGGTGAATGCCACCTTGTTGTGGGCTCGTGCAGGCCTGGGCGCTTCGCACGAGGTTCCGACCAAACCCACAGCCAGCGACGTGGCGTGCTCCTCTTTGGCGTGGGAGTGCACGACAGACCAAGTTCCTTCGCGAATCGGTTGCGACGAATCCTCGCAGGACATTTTGGCATGACCGACAAATGCGAGCACAGAAGACATTCGCGAATACTCCATACGACGACAGAGTAACCACTTCTCATCCCTCGCCTGCAACAACTGCCCGCAGACCTGTTGCGGCTGCGTTCAGCAGTCAATCGTGGGCTCCTGCCCTGGTAACAAATTCGCTACATCACCTCTCAACGAATCAGAAGCAGCCTAGCGAACCTTTGCAGCTTTGGCGCCTCTTTTCAAGCCTGATTTCCAGGTTTGGAACATTTTGTGGGAGTCTCTAGGTTCCGCTGAACCTTTCAGTTTCAGGTCTTGGGAACTCCAGAACAGCGCAACATTGCGAGCAGCACCAGTGACTGCTGCTGTTGCTCTTCCTCCTGAGCAGTACTCACGTCAGGGAGATGGCTCGTCATTTTTGAGCAAGGTGATTCTGAAGGCTGATTTCTGTGGGTGATTCCAAGGTGTCAGTTTCAGAAGCACTACGTAGGAGCATCAAAAGTTCCCAGCTGCTTTCTTGAACTTCTAGTGCAGCCTGGGAGTCTTAGTCCTGTAGCATTTCACGCTAACGTTACTGCGTAAGCGGTGCGTCAACCGCTTATAGTTCAGCCTAACTTACTATATTCATATCATCTTCCGACTTGGGAAGTACTTGTCTAACGTCGCTAACTACTGAACCTGAAATAGGTCTACTCGTCTAACGTCGCTAACTACTGAACCTGGGATAGGTCTGCTTCTACTTCGTTCACAATAATGCAACCAACTTCAAGACTCCACTGCTCTTCGTAGTATTTTACCTCTTAACTTAACCTGAAGCCCTTCTGTTGAGCTTACTTAACAATGACTACAGTACCACTTACTAGCGATGTTACTGACACTTCGTCGCGACGTCACGAAAGCGCGTCCTTTCGACGGTCGTCGCAGGAGCGCAAAGAAGACGTCGCAGCATCAGATAAACACCTGCCTCGGCACGTGTCCAAGACGACCTTTGCGTCTCTTATACGACAGCTTGTTAACGTCCAAAAGTAAGTGGCTTGATCTCATTTTCGTTAGAGCTCGCTTCCTTCCATCTACTTACCGATTAAGTGTTTCTGTTTATTCAAAGGTTTTCTGACATTGATTACTCACCTCCTTAATTTCTCCCCACTATATCCCCACCTCCTTCCCTCTTGGATAATTGTCAATACCCACTGTAATTGTCGCCTCGGCGAACCAACAGCAAGACCCACCCCTCTCCGTCCCACGACTCTTCGCCTTGCCTGCCGAACCTGGGCAAACTCCGAAGCTCGCTGTCCGCCGAGCCTCCGTCCGTTCCTCTCACTCTTCGTCTAGTCCCTCCTGGCTCGGGGATCATTTGGTGTTCCCAACTGCAAGCCCAGGACTCGTACGGTCACTACGCGCCGAGCTACCTCCAATCTAGAAGAGTTTGTCACCAATGGGAGCCGCCTCACATGTAAGACACCTGAATACGTCCTACCTATTGATGTACACCACATTCTACATCCTACATTCATAAAGACGGGAAGAGAAACGCCCACCCCGTCTCCTCCGTCCCCACCATTCGTCACGTGTGTTTCTTCCCTCACATTTTCTCCCCCCCCCCTTTCCCCCCGCGCATCCTGTGTCCGTTTATGTGTTTCATTCCTCGACGTCCACAGCAGCCCATCTCAGAGCGTCTTTTGAGGTTCTTGCGGCGCAGGCGCTGACAATGGCTTGCTTTTGAGACGTCTCAAAAGTGTCCCCCCTCACCTCCCTTCTTCCCCCCCGCATTCCCCGACTTCCACAGCAGCCCATCTCAGAGCGTCTTCGAGGTACTTGCGGCGCAGGCGCTGACAATGGCTTGCGCGCAGGAGGGGCGGCAATCAGCAGCGGAAGGGCAGCAAATACCGCGGAAACGGACACACGGAAGCGAACACAGAGGGGTGTATAGAGAGGTGTATGGACAGAAGCATAGCGCACATAGGGTCGCTGATTCGGGGATGTTGGTGAAGCAAGCAGAGCAAGCCACGGCTAGGGGAGAGGTATCAGCTGGGGCAGAGGCACGGGCAGGAACAGAAGCAGCAGCACGGACAGAAGCAGAAGCAGGAGAGAAGGAGGTTCGTGGAGTCCTACTAGCTAAAAGCTGCGGTTCAAATCCCAACGACCCGTCTAACCCCCAGCTGGCTCGGGGTGCTGGTCTATTTGCTCAGGATAGTGAACCCCGCGTGTCTCAATCTCAGCCGTCCGATAGTGAAGGGATTTATCTGATGGGGATAGATGCGCTGGAAGCTGCGCTGGCACTGAAAAGACGGGAGGAGGAAGGGGTGGAGGAGAGGGAGGGGATTGAAATAGAAGAAGAGGAAAAGGAAGAGGAAAAGGGAGAGGAGAGGGAAGAGGGGGTGGTGTGTATAAAACGGATAGAGGGGACTTTTGGAGGAAGTGATGATGCTGTGAGTGTAGACCGTGTTGTGGTTCTTCGCGGGGCTGCTCATATAGGGGATGCTAAAATAACAGACGGTGAGGGGGAAATGAATGGGAAAGAGGGTGAGGACGACACATGCCTCGAGCTAGGAAAGCAGATGCAGTTAGATTCAGTCGACGCACTTCAGATCATGGCAGAAGAGGTTTCGGGAATTTCGCAGAGAACTTCCGTTAGGGCAGAGGAGGCGAGGGCAGGGGCGGTGGAGACGAGTCCAAGGGCGGCGGATCAGGACCGGAAGCACCCTCGGGGAATGAGGAGGGTGAGATCGGCGGGTATGGGTCACGCAGCAGAAGTTGAAGTGGCAGGAGGAGGAGGGGTGGGGTTTGGAGGAGGGGAACGAGAGCGCGCTTTCACATTGCTGCAGCCGCCGCCGCTGCTGGTTGGTGCGTCTGTGGGAAGGTTCGGGGAAGGATCAGCGGAGGTGAAGGAGCAATGGGGCGAAAGGGACAGGCAGGGAGCGGGGAAAAGGGTTGGGGCGGAGGAGGGTCTGTTGGCGAGGAATGTGGCTGGTTTTGTCTGTCAGGAGATTTCTGAGGCGCCTCAAAGGGCTGAAGCCGAGGTATGGGTTGGAGCAGAGGAAGTGGATGGAGCAGAGGAAATAGCTGAAGGGGAGAAAGCGGATGGAGCAGAGAAAAGAGTTGAAGGGAAGGAAGCGGATGGAGCAGATGGAAGGGCTAAAGGGGAGGAGGCGATTGGAGCAGAGGAAAAGGATGGTGATCAGTGTCTAGAAGACATGTCATCATCGCACCCTTCCTCCTCTTCCTTCACACTCCCCCTCACGCACTCCCCTCCCTTAGCCGCCAGCAGCACCACCACCGCCGCAGCATCCGTCCTCCCTGTCCCATCCCCGTCCCTTTCTCCCACCCCATCTGCACATCTTTCCCTTTTCCCGTTCCCGTTCCCCTTTCCCTTCCCCTTCCATCTCCCTCCATTCTCTGCTGACTCCACCCCTTCCTCCAATCATCCCTCTCGCTTTACCACTCCAGGCCCCCACCCGCTCCCACACTCCTTCCTCAACACCCCTGCTTCCACCGCCCACTCTCTACACCGCCCGTTCTCCCTGTACCGCCCAATATCGCCCTCAAACCGCTCTCTATCCTCCAAAACCCTTTACAGTCCGTCCTCGTCGACCCTTTCTCCCGCTCTGCCTGCACGGCAAAGAGCAGCACCATCTTCAGTAGCAGGTTCCGAAGCCGTCACAGCAGCTGTAGGAAGATCCGGTTGTAGCAGCGCTCTTCCCAGTGCTGCTACAGCCGGGTGCAGGTCGGCAGGGTCCGGCATGGCAGTGGGCAGCAGCAGGATGAGCAGCTTTAGCGAGTTCAGCCTCCCTCCAAACGCACTGGACGAAGGGAGGAACCACGCGGCATGGCATGGGGCGCTGAGACTCAGAGGCGGCAGCAGGTACGGCACTGCCAGATGTGCCACTGCTGAGTGTGACACTGCCAGGTGTGACTCTGGCGGATGTGACACTGCCAGATGTGACTCTGCCGGGCGTGACACTTCCGGGTGTGACTCTGCCGGGTGTGACTCTGCGAGACGTGCCACTTCGCAGAACAGAAAATTGAGCAAGAGTTTGTCGCTAGAGGAGAGGGCTCTGGGACTGGGAGGGCTTGCAGAAGGAGTCAGCTACGGGTGGGGCGTGGGGCTTCTGAGGCTTGACGACGCCCTGAAGAACGGAGGAAGCGAGCATTTGAGTGACCACGGTGGGGCCAGCTCGAGTGGTGAGGCGTCTCAAGCCTCTAGTTACGGCTGGGGCGTGGGGCTGTTGAGACAGAGAGACGGTCTGAAGCAAGGAGGAAGAGGGGAAGCGAGGACGGAAGGTCCGGGGAGGAGTGTGGTTGAGTATGACGGTGTTACGACACAGGGGAGTGTTTTGAAGCAGGGGGGTGTGGAGGAGCGGAGGATGGAAGTTAAGGCCTTAACTGAGGTGGGTATGATGTGTGAGGAAGCGAGTAGCCATGCTCGGTTCAGCACCAGTGGATCTGCCAGTAGGACAGATGGGGGCGGCCAAAGCAGTTTTTTCCCAATTAGCAACACGCAGAATGGTAGCAGCAGGCATAGCGGCAGCAGAAGCAGGAGTAGCAGCGGGCAGAATGGCAACAGCAGCAGCAGCAGCAGCAGCGGAAACAACAGCAGCAGAAACAGCAGACAGAACAGCGCTGATAGCAGACGCAGCCATGCAAGTAAAGGCAAGGGAGGAAGTAACCACAGGAGCTCAGGCAAGGCTGGCAGCAAAGGCAGTGGCAGGGGGTGGTTCGGTAGAGGTAGCAGGAGCAGCATGGGTAGTGAGGAGTTGAGCCAGAGCAAGAGCAGGGATGGTGGGGATTTGGGCAGGAGCACGAGCAGGGGTTGTGGTGAGTTGGGCAACGGACGAAGGGCACGTGACTTGGGCACATGCAGCAGCAGGGCTGGTGAGAGGAGGAGCACTGAGAGGAGCAGCATCGAGGGGGGCAGCTTCGTGGGGAACCGAAACAATCTTCTTGCAATGCTGGTATCGTTACAGAAGTCGCACAGTCAGCAGCAGGATTGTGAGGCCCTCCATAACGAGGACAGGCTTGCAGTGGACTCGATGGGGAGAAGGAAAGGGAGCAGCCAGGGAAGAAGCAAGCGAAGCCGTGGGGAACGGTCAGTGAGGAGTAAGGGGCTTGTTGAACCGATTGAGGAAGAGGAGGGAGAAGAAGGGGAGGAGAGAGAGGAGGCGAACGGGGGGAGACAAGGGGGGAGGGTAAAGGAGGAGGAGGAGGAGAAAGGGGAGTGTAAGGATCTTCATAGCCTGGTGCACGAATGGCTGGAGATGGAAGGAGAGGCTGAGCTGGCAAGCGGTGATTCGCCGATTCTGGACATAATAACGCTCACAGCGTTACTGGGGGCTGCTGGGGTTGGGGTGTCGTCCAGACGGGAGAAGTGGGAAGAGAGGCAGATGGGCGTGGATTCGAAGGGCGGAGCAGCAGCAGCAGCAGCAGAGCCAGGTTCAGCAGAGCCACCAGCAGCAAATGCAGCAGCAGTGTTGGCAGCAACACCACCGGCAGCAGAATCAGCAGCAGCATCAGAGTTGGCAGCAGGGCCGGCAGCATCAGATCTGGCAGCAGGGTCACCAGCAGAGCCACCAGCCGAGCCAACAGCCGAGCTACCAGCAGCACGTACAGGAGGAGGTCGGCCAGTGGCGCATTGGCGGCCGTCCTCGGGACCTGTTGTAGCAATGGCAGCAGCATCAGAGGCTCTATCAGCCGCAGCTTCCCCTCACCGCCCGCTCTCTGGGCCCCTGACTGGGCACAAGCGGAAACGAGACGGCCTGCCACTGCCCCACCAGCACTCTGTGGTGAGAAACACCCTTCTTTTCCACAACACCCGGCACACCACCCATCATCTTGCCTTGTCACTCGCCACAGCTCCGACCGCTGTGTCTGAGGGCCTGGGAAGCGTGGGCAGGGAGGAATGGGAGTTGGCTCACCAGTCTCCCTGGTTGCGTGAGAGGGGGTCAAGTGAAGAGTGTGTGTTGTTGCTGCCCTTGGCTATGGCGCGGGGGGGACGCGAAGCTGGGCGTATGAACGCCGCTGGTGCTGCTCCTTTGGGAACATCTCCAAGGCAGGCTCAGAGTCCTTCCTTTGAAGCGCTGCCGCAGCTGCCCTTGGCCATGGCGCGGGAGGGATGTGAGGCTAGGTCTGGTGTGGACTGCGGTGCTGCTCGGTATGGAACATCTCAGCAGCTGCTGCCCCTGTCCATGGCGCGGGGAGGACGTGAGGTTGGGCCTCAGGAGATCTCTCAAAGGCAGGGTGAAGCGTTTGAGGGGCCTCAGCAGCTGCTGCCCCTGTCTCTTGCGCGTGGGGGATGCCAAGTTGGGCCTTCACAGGCGTTGGAGGGGAAAGACGAGTTGGGGGAAGAGAGGGAAGAGGAAGAGATGGAGGGAGAAACGAGGGAGGGGGAAGAGAGGGAAGGGACAGGGGACGGGAATGGTGGGGAAGGAGGAGAGGGAGGCGAGGGCAGAAGGGGAAAAGGGGGAGAGAGCAATGGAACAGGCAGAGGGGGAGCAGGGGGAGAAGGGGGAGTAGGTGGGGCAGGCGGAGTGGGCAATGATGGGGAGGAGGGTGATGGAGGTGAGGGCGATGACGAGGGGAATGGTGGAGAGGGAAGTGGGAATGGGGATGGAGGGGAGGAAGGGGAGGATGGGGAGGAGGAGGATGGTAGTTGTGAGAGAGAGGAGGGAGTTGACGAAGAGGAGAAGGAGGAAGAAGGGGTGGAGGAGAATGAGGAGGGTGAGATAAGGGCAGATGAAGAGGTTTCGCAGGAAAAAGGAGAGAAGTCGCTGTTCTGTAGGCAGCATGAGGGAGTGGCTGCGTCAGGGACAGTAGCAGAGGTGAGAACAGGAGAAGTGTCAGATGTTGAGAGAGTAGATGCGGTAGAGACAGCTGATAACAGGTTTGCTGATGCAGACCAATGTTTGGTGACAACAGGACTTGAAAGCGCGGGTATACTCCAATGCGAGGCAGACGAAGCGGCTGAGGTGGAATCAGAGGCAGCTGTCGCAGCTGGGAGCAAACAAGCCACAGAACAGACTGCAGAGACAGCTGATGCAGTCGCCTGTTCCTTGGCTACAGCTTTTGAAAGAGCGGATACGATTCAATGCGAGGCATATGATGCAGCAGAGACACAATTAAAGGAAGCAGTTGCAGCAGGAGAGACAGCAGAAAGGGCAGCAAGAGCAGGAGTAGCAGAAGCAGCAGAAGAAGCATCAGCAGAAGCAGCTGAAGCAGGAGTAGGAGCGGAAGAGGAAGCAGCAGAAGCAGAAGAGGAAGCAGCAGGAGCAGAAGAGGAAGCAGCAGGAGCAGAAGAGGAAGCAGCAGGAGCAGAAGAGGAAGCAGCAGGAGCAGAAGAGGAAGCAGCAGGAGCAGAAGAGGAAGCAGCAGGAGCAGAAGAGGAAGCAGCAGGAGCAGAAGTGAAATCAGCAGGAGCAGAAGCAGGAGCAAAAGGAGCAGTAGAAGCAGGAGAAGAGGAAATTGAAGGAACAGGAACGAGCTGCTCTGTAGCAGCAGGAGTAGAAGTGAGAGAAGGAGCCGATGGGAACTCAACCGCAGGAGCAGCAGGAGGAAAAGAAGCAGCAGCACCAGCAGCGTTAGTGGCAGTAGCAGCTGATCAGCTCACTGCAGATTATGCAGCAGCAGAGGTTGCTAAGAATCCCAACAACTCTGAACGAGGGTCCTTTGAATCGACTCAAGAGGGGCTTGCGAGTCCTGATGACTCTGAAGCAGCAGCGGTAGTGGCAATGGCAGCTGATCAGCTCACTCCAGGTTATGCAGCGGCAGAGGTTGCTAAGAATCCCAATAACTCTGAACGAGGGTCCTTTGAGCCAACTCAGGAGGGGCTTGCGAGTCCTGCTGACTCTGAAGCAGCAGCGGTAGTGGGAATGGCAGATTATGCAATGGCCGAGGTTGGTTCTACGGAGAGCCCTTCTGAACAGGGGTCCTTTGAGTCGACTCAAAAGGGGTTTGCAAGCCCTGCTCACTTTGCTTCTGCTCAGGACTTGCTCGATTCAGCTGGGGAGGGGTTTGCAAGCCCTGCTGACTCGGCTCATGTTTCGGCTGAGTCGACTCAGGAGGGGCTCCCAAGCCCTGCTGACTTTGCTTCTGCTCAGGACTTGCTCGATTCAGCTCGGGAGGGGTTTGAAACCTCTGCTGACTCTGCTCAAGTTTCCGTTGAGTTGACTCAGGAGGGGCTTCCAAGCCCTGCTGACTTTGCTTCTGCTCAGGACTTGCTCGATTCAGCTCGGGAGGGGTTTGAAACCTCTGCTGACTCTGCTCAAGGTTCCGTTGAGTTGACTCAGGAGGGGCTTCCAAGCCCTGGAGACTCTGCTGCTGCTCGGAATTTGTTCGATTCAGCTCGGGAGGGGTTTGAAACCTCTGCTGACTCTGCTCAAGGTTCCGTTGAGTTGACTCAGGAGGGGCTTCCAAGCCCTGGAGACTCTGCTGCTGCTCGGAATTTGTTCGATTCAGTTGGGGAGGGGTTTGCGAGCCCTGCTGACTGTGCTGTTGCTCGGGTGGGGTTTGACAGCCCAGCTGACTGTGCTGCCGCTCAGGATTTGTTCGATTCAGCTGGGGAGGGGTTTGCGAGCCCTGCTGACTGTGCTTCTGCTGAGGATTTGTTTGACTCGGCTCGAGAGGGGTTTGAAAGCTCGTTTAGCACCGAACAAGTGTTCTTTGAGGCGACTGGGAAGGGTTGCGAGTGTTCGGAGAATGATAATAACGAGAAAGAGGTGTTGTTTGATACCTTGGCCGCCTTCAGTCCAGAGGCTTTTACTTTTGAGGGTGCTGGTGATGATGCTGAGAGCAGTAGAAAGGGGGGAGCAGCTGCAGGAGTCGAAACAGAGAGTGAAGCATCAGAGGGAGGTGAGATTGCTGTAAGAAGGATTGAGACGTCTCAGGATTGTGTATATACCAACGGCAGCAAGGGAAATCAGGAACTCTTGGGTTTGGATGTTACATGGATGAAGAAGCAAGGGGACGACGAGAAGGAGAGGGAAACGACGGAGAGGAGAGAGGAGGAGAAGGAAAAGATGTGCATCGACGTGGAAGAGGAGGATGCAGGGAGTGCAGTGGGTGCAGTGGGGTTGACTGCGGTGGATACAACAGTTGGAGAGGATATGACAGGCGCTAGGGATATGATGGAGAGGGTAGGCCTTGTGGGCATGCTGCTGAGACGGGTACGAAACCGGTTGGGTAAGCAAGACGTGCAGGAGGGATTGGGGGAGGAAGTGGACGAGGGTTTGAGGGAGGGAGTGAAGGAGGAAGGTGGGGAGGAAGTGGGGCAAGACGTCGATGAGAGATTGGGAGAGAAGGTGGGGATGGAAGTGCGGGGAGGGGAGGATGAGAGTGAGGAAGTGGGGAGAGGGGGAGAAATGAGGGAGGAAGTGGGGGGAGGGGGCAGAGGGAAAGAAGAAAGGGAGGAATTTGAAAGAGAGGACGTAGAGAGGCAGGAAGTGGGGAGGGGGGAAGAGGAAAGGGAGGAGGAGGGGAGAGAGGAAGTGAGGAGAGAGCAGAGAGAGGAGGAGCGTGAAGTGGAGGAGTCAAAGAGAGGAGGGAAGCAGGCGTGGGAGGAGGAGGAGGAGAGGGTGGAGAGGTTGGAGCAGCTGCTGCTGCGCATCAAGGCAAGGCTGGTGCTCGTCAACTCATCTGCTGCTGCTACTGCTGCTGCTGCTAGATCATCTGAGTCGACTGCTGTCAACGCAGTAGCTGCTGCTGCAGCTGCTGCTCCTGCACCTGCTGCACCGGTCAACTCAGCAGCTGCTGCTGCCCGTTCAACTGAAGGGCCGTCTCGTACCGAGACACGTATAGTAACCTTTGACTTTAACCAAGAGGCAGGACCACAAATGGAGACAGCAGCGCATATGGAGACAGGAAATGACCTGTTTTTCGAAACGGTTCAGGATTCACCCACGTCGGTCAACTCAGCACCAGTCACATCCCCCTCACCGCACTCACCCAACTTTGCCCCACCACTTGCCTCCCTGGATACAGACCCCTCATACCCCTCGTTAGAAGCACATCCCTTTCTGCCAGAAGATCCGTCCCTTGTTGGAACCACATCCCAGGCTCTTTCAGACGCCATTTCCATCTCTCCTGACTTGACCTCCGCCGTCCAATCCCCCTCCTCTGATCTCCACTCTCCCTCGTTACAGTCAGATTCCCCCTCGTTAGAGTCACATGCCTCGCTGCTAGCAGATGTATCCCTCACTGCAGCCACATCGCAGGCCCTTTCAATCGCCGTCTCCATCTCTCCCGATTCATCCTCTGACCCTCACTCCCCATCCTCCGCCCTCCAGTCCCCCTCTTTAGTATCACACGCCTCGCTAGTATCACACCCCTCCCTGCCAAGAGATGTTTCCCTCACAGCAGCCATATCCCAAGCCCGTTCAAACGCCATTTCCAACCCTCCTGACTTCGGGGCCGATCCTCATTCCCCTTCCTCCGCCCCTCATTCCCCTTCCTCCGCCCCTCATTCCCCTTCCTCCGCCCCTCATTCCCCTTCCTCCGCCCCTCATTCCCCTTCCTCCGCCCCTCATTCCCCTTCCTCCGCCCCTCATTCCCCTTCCTCCGCCCCTCATTCCCCTTCCTCCGCCCCTCATTCCCCTTCCTCCGCCCCTCATTCCCCTTCCTCCGCCCCTCATTCCCCTTCCTCCGCCCCTCATTCCCCTTCCTCCGCCCCTCACTCCCCTTCCTCCGCCCCTCATTCCCCTTCCTCCGCCCCTCATTCCCCTTCCTCCGCCCCTCATTCCCCTTCCTCCGCCCCTCACTCCCCTTCCTCCACCCCTCCCTCCTCCGCCCTTCCCTCCCCTTCCTCCGCCCCTCCCTCCCCTTCCTCCGCCCCTCCCTCCCCTTCCTCCGCCCCTCCCTCCCCATCCTCCGCCTCTGCACACTCCCCCACCTCCCCACCCCCTCAATCCCTCTCCTTCCCTTCCACCCCTTTCTCCCCATCCACCTGTGCTTCCTCCTCTTGCCTCTCTCTCCCCCTGTCCCGCCTCCGCTCCTTCTCCCCTCCCCGCACCCACTCTATCCAAACCAACTCTGACCAGGCCAGTGTCTTTGGCCGCTCCTCTTCCCACACTCACTACTCCCACACTCACTCCTCCCATACACACTACTCCCACACTCACTCCCATACACACTACCCCCACACTCACTACTCAACCCACCACACTCACTTCCCTTCTCACACTCCCTTCTCCTCTCGCACTCTCCAATCCTCCCAGGTCCAGGCCCCATCACGCACTCTCTCCTATCCATCTGCAGCGACTCATATCTCCTCCCACCCTTCCCCGGTGTCCTTCACCACGATTAGCACAGCACCGCTCCTGTTCCCTGTTGTGAGTGGTGAGGAAGCAGCACCTGAAGCAGCAGCACCTGATGCGGCAGAACCTGAAGCAGCAGAACCGGGAGAAGCACCTGAAGAAATACCTGAAGGAGGAGTCGAAGTACCACCAGAAGCACCACCAGCACCTGAAGAATCACCTGAAACTTCTCAGGAAGATGCTGGTGTCTCGGCAAGTGATCAGGAGGAGAGCGTGTTTTCAATCTCCCTTCTGGGAACGACAGGGGAGGAGGAGAAGATACTGGAAAGCCAAGAGGAGAGCAAAGAGGTTACTACCGTTGTTGCCAGTGATCCTGTTCCCTCTGCTCCTGCTGCATTGTGCTCTGCCACTGGACTTACCAGTGCTCAGCCTGACATCCTTCCTGAAGTACCGCCTAAGCCTGATCATGCTCCAATAGTCACTATCCTTTCTACTCCTGCCGACGACCAGAAGCAAGCAGTACCAGCAGAATCAGTGGTGGCAGGAGCGACTGCAGCAGCGGCGGCAGTTCTGGCTGCAGTGGCAGCAGTCAAACCCTCATCTCCCTCTCTCTCCCCCAGCAGCAGTCTCCCGCGCCATATCCGTGTATCCTCCCCTCGTTTCCACCCAACACAGCCAACCTCTCTCTACTTCCCTGCTACTGCTGGTAGCAGTCTCGTTTCTGCTAATGATGCCGATGCTGATACTGGCATTGTTGCTGCTCCTGCTGCTCCTGCTGCTGCTGATGCTGCTGATGCTGCTCCTGTTGCTGACGCGGCTGCTGATAACGCTGCTGCAGGCAAGGCCATCAGAAGCACTTTCAACCTTTATCCATATGCCAAGCCTGCCAGCCTCGTCAGCAAGGTGTTCGTATTCAGGTCCCCAAGCGGGGAAACCGCTACCAAGGCGCTCCATTCGGGCTCGCGTCAGCAGCACAAGCCGCCTCTTTCTGACTCGCCTCAGCAGCAGCACTCTGCACATGGCGGCAATACTACTGCCACCAGCAGCAGCGGTACACCCATGACACCCACGCAATCTTCCATGGCACCTACAAGCTCATCTGCGAAGGCTTCTGTGACGCCCAAGCGATCCAAGAGCCTGTCAACAGTAGCTGCTGCCACTGCTTCCTCCTGGCTCCGATCTCTTAAGTCCACCCTCTCCCCATCCTCTTCCTCCTCCTCCACATCGGCTAAAGCAGCACGCACCAGACAGTCACGTTCCACAGAGCCACACTGGATACAATCACCTGCTCTGGCGTCTGTTGATGCACCCTCTACCTCGGCCTCCTCACTCGCCTCCCTCATCTCCCCTCATCATGCCCCCTACCCTCCCCATGCCCCCTACCCTCCCCATGCCCCCCCTTCCCATGCCTCCCATCCTCCTCCTCCTCAACCGTTCCCTGCATCCGCCCCTGTAGGTCCTGCCTCCGAACCCACAACTTTCTGGAACCTTCCCCCGGTAGACCTCCCTCCACCCGCTATCGCTCTGGACCCCATTCCACCCCTTTCTACTCCTTCTGTTCCTCCTTCAACTGCTCCTGCTGCTCCTTCTTCTCCTACTCGTGGCTTGCCCAACTCCCAGCTCTCCACTTCTCCCTCCTCCCTCATGTCTCCCCTCTCCGCTCTCCCCAACTCTCCTACTTCCTCGCCCCCAGCCCCTCCTGTCAGCACCACCCCTTCCACCCCACCTGTTCGCCCAGCATCCCCTGCTCTCAAATCCACCCGCTTTGGATTCACCCGGAATTCGCCCCTTCAGAATTTTCAGAATTCGCCCAGACAGTCCTCTCCTTTTGAGGCGCCTCAGAATTCGCCCAGACAGTCCTCTCCTCCTGCTGCTAGGATTCGGCCTCCCTCACCGCGCCGTCTCTTGTCCTCCCTTCACAAGATGCTCAGCCCAGGTGTCGGATCAGGTGGAATTTCAGGTGAATCTCGCCAAGTGCCTGCACTGGCTGTAGCAGGGAGTGCTTCTTCAGGTGTTGTGTCAAGTGATCCTGTGGCTGTTGCAGCAGAGCCAATCCGATCTCCAGTTGTAGCGGGAGCTACAGCTGCTCCGATGGTGGCTGTAGCAGCTGCAGCAGGAGTTCCATCTGCACCGGCTGTAGCAGCAGGTACCAGTGCAGCAACTGTAGCAGAAGATGTAGCAGGACAGTTTCTCCCAGCAGCTGTTATCCCTTGCGGGGATGTAGCAGCAGATTTTTCTGCAGGAGTTGAGCCCAACGGGCTGGCTGTGGCAGTTGAAATACTTCCTGCTGCTGTAGCCCCTTCCGAGGATGTAGCAGCAGATTTCGCTGCAAAACTTGAGACTGATGGGTTGGCTGGAGCAGAGGAAATTTCCAATGCAGCTGTAGCCCCTTGGGAGGATGTAGCAGCAGATTTCGCTGCAGATCTTGAGACTGACGGGCCAGCTGTAGCAGTATCAGCAGAGATGGAAGAAGGGACAACCGTTGAGGAGGAGGGAGGTGAAGGGGAGAGCAGTGAAGAGGGGGTAAAGGGGGAAAGAGAGGGGGAAGAAAAGGAGAGGAAGGATGGGCAGGAGGAGGAGGAGGGAGAAGGGGAGAAGGGAGGGGAGGAGGTTGTGGAAGTGAAGGAGGAGGATGAGAAGAAGCGTGAGAGAAACGATGCGGAAGAGGAGGGTGCAGAGAGAAAAACAGGGTGTGAGTGGGTAGGGCTGCAGGAAAGCACAGCACCAGCTGAAGGAGAGGAAGAGAGAGAAGAATCAGGTGGTGAGGAGGAGAATGGTAATGATAATGGTCACGCAGGAACATTGGAACGTGAAGTAAAGGTCGCTGTACCGAGCCTTTCAGAGGGAAGCATTGCAATCACAGGACCAGCAGCATCAGGCGTTTCAGAAGGGACAGTCACATCACCTCTATCCTCGTGCCTCTCCCCTCCTCCATCCACCTCCCCCTCCTCCTCCATATTTTCCCTTTCTCTCACTCTCGCCCTTGCTTCTCCTGAACCACCTCCGTCCCTCGTCACCCCCACACCACCACCCCTCTCCCTCACCCGCTCCCCCATCCCACCTCCTTCTCTCACACTCTCCCCTGCTCTAGCTGCCCACGTGCCCACTCAACACAGCCTACACAGCCCCACACCACCGCCCCCTTCCCTCGTCACCCCCACCACACCACCACCCCTCTCACTCACCCTCTGCCCCGCCCCGCCCACTTCCCTCCTCCCCTCCCCCGCTCTAGCTGCCCGTGTGGCCACCCAACACAGCCTGCACAGCCACACACCACCGCCCCCTTCCCTCGTCACCCCCACCACACCACCACCCCTCTCACTCACCCTCTCCCCCGCCCCGCCCACTTCCCTCCTCCCCTCCCCCGCTCTAGCTGCCCGTGTGGCCACCCAACACAGCCTGCACAGCCACACACCACCCCCTCCCTCCCTCGCCACCCCCACCACACCACCACCCCCTTCTCTCCCCCTGTCCCCCGCCATAGCTGCCCGGGTTGCCACGCAACACAGCCTGCACAGCCCCTCCCCACCACCTAACTCCCTCGTCACCCCCAGATCACAGCCCCCCTCCCTCCCCCTCTCCCCCGCCCTAGCTGCCCACGTGGCCACCCAACACAGCCTGCACAGTCCCACACCACTGCCTCCTTCCCTCGTCACCCCCACCACACCACCACCCCCCTCACTCACCCTCGCCCCCAGATCACAACCCCCCTCCCTCCCCCTCTCCCCCGCTCTAGCCGCGCGGGTTGCCACTCAACACAGCCTGCACAGCCTGCAGAACCTTCGGAGCAGGCTGCAGCAGCAGCGAATGGCGATGCGCCAGCTGGCGGAGGAGACGAGCAGGCTGCGGGGGTGGCTGGGCAGTGCTGCTAGCGGGGGAAGTGTGCCGGTTGGATCAGGTGGTTTGGGTGGGAAAGTTGGGTCAGGTGGATTGGTTGGGACAGTTAAGTCGGGTGGATTGGGTGAATTGTCAGCAGGTGCTTCAGCTGGAGCTGTTATTGGGGATGCTGGGTCTACAAGACGCGTTGCTCAAGGTACTGCTTCTCCTGCTGCGTCTGCTATACAATCTTCTGATTCTGCTGCTGCTTCTGCTGCAAGTGCTGGTGGTGCTGATGGCGCTGCTGCTGCCTCTTCTGCTGTTGCTGCTGACATGTCCTGGGCAGCTGACCTGTCATCACCTCCTGAGTCGTTTTTAAGTGGTGCTGACTCACCAATTGGTTCTTACTCACCAACTGATGCTGACTCACCAACTGATGCTGACTCACCAATTGATGCTGACTCACCAACTGATGCTGACTCGCCAACTGATGCTGACTCACCAAGTGGTGCTCATGCTGCAGCGGGAAGGGTGGCTGAAACCAATGAAGCCGATGGAAAGACAGGGGCCGCTGAAGAAGTCGAGGGAGCTGAAATCTGTGAGACAACTGAAGAGAAGGACGTACGTCCGGAGCAGCAGCAAACGCAGTGTAAGACAAGCGAGGAACCTAACGAGTCGACTTCTGGGTCGACTGGAAAAGCATATGAAGAGATGGGACGTGAGGCACAAGACACCAAGGGTTTGGGAGGGGGGAGTGGAGCGGAGGGAGGAAGCGGAGGAGTGGAAGCTACTGGTGCAACGGAAGGAGGTGTGCAGTGCAGAGAAATGGGTTTCTTAGGTGCTGCTTCTCCGATAACTCCTGCTTCCGGCGCAGGAGTGAACACAGTAGCTCCTATTTCTGAGGAAGTGGCCAGTACTGTTCATGACGCGCCTCCGAAACTGGAACGAGCAGCTGTGCTCTTTCCTGCTCGTTCTGTGGCTGCTTTTAAATCTTCTGCTGCTGTAGCAGGAACGAGCACAGCAGCTTCTGTTTCTGGTGAAGCAGCCAATGCTGTTACTGAGGCGTCTCAGCAACAGGCTTCGTCTAAAGCAGCTGCTGCTACCGCCCCTCAGGTTTCAAGGCGTCGCCTCGCCTTTGCTCTGCTGAGCGAGCCACTTAGCAGAAAGCCGCGAGTCACATCAGTGACGTGGACCACCCTCTCTGCGATCCAGGAGGAGGAAGGATTGGGCATAGACTCGCAAGAATCAAGGTCCCAAAGTAGTGTGGAGCGATCTGGTCTAGATTCGGAAAAATCAGAGTCTCAAGGCAGCGTGAAGCAGCAAGGCAGGGCTCAAGGCAGTATGGAGCGAGGCAGGTCTGTGAGCTGGACTGCTCTTGCACCAATCAGAGAGGAGAAGAGGAGTCTAGGTTTGAATCCCAAGGAGCAACGGTCTCCAACATCCCCTCTAGCATCCCCTCTGGCATCCCCTTTACGGTCCTCCCCCTTAGTACCCCCTGCCAAAAGCCCCTTGGTAACCCCTACTGCTCCTCTCCTTCACCTTAAGATTATTCCATCCCCCCCTCCTGCTTCCACCTCTCCTCCTCCTCTTATTCCTCCTCACTCTCATCCGCCTTTCTCCGCCCCTCTCTCCACCACCTCTTTCTCTTCCGCTGTCGCAAGACTGCTGCCTGCCTCTACAGCTGCTGCTGCTGCTGCTGCTGCTGCTGCTGATGCTGCTTCTGCTGCTCCTGCTGCTCCTGCTGCTGCTTCTGCTGCTCCTGCTGCCCCTGTTTCTCCTGTTGCTCCTGCTGTTCCTGCTGCTCCTGCTGCTGCTTCTGATCCACTCTCGCTGGCGACGGCTCGCAGTGGTGATACTGATTCTGTTGCTGGTGTGGCTGCTACTGGCTCTGCTGATACTGCAGCTGATTCTGCTGGTGCTACTGCTGGTGGTTCTGCTGCTGCTGCACCTACTGCTACTGCACCAGCCTTAAGCCCCGTTTCTGATACCAGCACTGCCTCTGTCCCTCCTGCCTTTCCTTCCTCTCAGCCCACACCCTCCTCATCATCTTCCTCCTCCTCCTCTTCCTCCTCCTCCTCCCCTTCCTCCTCCTCCTCTTCCTCCTCCCCCTCCTCCTCCTCCTCCTCCTCCTCCTCCTCCTCCTCCTCCTCCTCCTCCTCCTCCTCCTCCTCCTCATCCTCCTCCTCCTCCTCCTCCTCTTCCTCCTCCTCGTCCTCGTCCTCCTCCTCCTCCTCTTCCGCTTCCTCCCAAAAATCTTCTCGCCCTCGCTCACTCTCCCCATTCCGTTTCTTTAGCCCCACAAAATCTCGGCCTACCATGGGAAAACCAGCCTATGCCAAGCCTGCAGCATCTGGGGCAGCAACAGCAGCACCAATAGCAGCACCAACAGCAGCTCCAGCATCAACTCCCTCGGTTGGTAAAACTGCTGAAAAGGCACCTGAAGAAACGCCTGAAAGGACTCCTGGAAAGACAAGAAAACGACCTGCATCACCAGCATCAACACTAGCATCTCTCTTCTCCCCCTTCTCCCCTGCACACTCACACTCCCCCTCACACTCCCCCTCTCCCAGCTCACTTCCCAAGACTCACAACCAGCCTCCCTCCATCCAGCCCAACGCACCTCCATCCTACTCTCCACCTGATTTCAACGGAATCACCTCACCTTCTGACTCACACACGCTAATCCCTGCAAGCCAAGCACCAAAGCACGCGGGTGCAGGTTCCTCAAACCCGCATCGACCCCACTCCCCATTCTCCCTTGCTCTCCATCGCATCTGGTCGCTCACCCACTCCAATCATCCCTCCGCCACAACCGACCATCCTTCCACCCACACTGCAACGGCTGTAGCTGAAACGGCTGTAGCAGCATCAGCAGCAGCAGCAGAAGCTGCTGCAGGTGATGCAGCAGATGCGCCTGCACCAGCAATCCATGGCGTAGCAGGAGGGATGGTTGAAGGAGGGGCAGCAGCAGCAGCAGCAGCAGCTGCAGCAGGAGCAACACCACTGAAGCCCAAGCCAATGACTGAGCAGCAGAAAGCAGCACTGTTGGAACTTATACACAGTCCAGTGAGTCTCTCTCTCCCTCCCTCCATGCTGCGCACACGCCATTCCATTCTCCCTGTCCTCCCTCTGCCCGATGCAACGCTTTTCTTTAAATACTTGAATTTACGTAGCAGTGTAACCACCTTATCCGTTGTGCTGACGCGTGCTTTTCCAAATCTTTTCCTCTGTCTTTGCAGGACCTGGGACTATCCCAGTCCTCAGCAGCTCTTCTGGAAAGAGCAATTCTTAGAGTGGCCACATCAGCTACACTTGATTTGATACCAGAAGGCTCTGGAAGCCCTTTTTAGACACATTGAGGTTCTTCGGCACTTGAAGCCCATCGGACTATTGAAACCACTGGAGTGATGAGTACTCAGTTTTTCCTGTCTAGTGTAGGAGCCTGCACTGATTTGACTCGGGTTTACTAACAATTTTACCGTTATTTGTTCCTGTATTGTGTAGTGTATGCATCCATTGCTAATTTGGTTATGGTACCGTACACATGTACGGTATCATTAAGAAAACTATGCTATGGCTTCTGTTCGGTGACTAGACCATAACTGCACTACCGATGTACATCAAGACCAAACAGAACATGCAAAGCAGGCCTCTGGATAGGATTTGGGGCACTCTTACTCGCAAGGCCAGTTCGCTGAAGTTGGTCTCTCAGTAACGGTGGGTCAGCCATGTCAGTCTTTTTTATCAGTGTCAGCTGGAAAGGTACTCTTGCTCATCACTGTGCACATTGTTTTCACCCTTTCATGTTTAGACTTAAGCGTGGATTACATATTAAGGATGGCTCTAACTAACAGAGCAACTAAAGCACCAGTGCCTGGTTCTAGCAGAATAAGCTTAGCGGTGAGCACAAGTTAATACGGTTTAGGAACTCTTGAGCAGGGCGGCTCTTCTTGCCAGCATTGAACATTGCTACCGTATGCATGAGCCCCGCGAGTAAAACTCGACTTAGGTTGCTGCCGCCACTTCTGCCGTGCCGAACACGAACCAGATTTCAGCTTCCTGGCAGCACAGTTGTGAGCAGCAGCGGTATTCTCCATTACATGTGTTGTGCTTTTCGTGGTGTCAGTTCAGGCGTCGTGGTGCACGTCACGCCCCGCTTCAGCCAGCGCGGTCTCAGCCTCAGTAGAGGCAACGACGGGCTCTGGTTCAAGCAGTCGCTTAGAAGGCACTGTTAAAAAGCGAAGGCCCTTTCATGAGGGTGAGTGCAGGACCTGACGACGAGCCTCGTCGTCATCCTCACCGCTGGTGACAACAGCCATGACGAGGGACTTGGAGGTAGATGCTGGAGCTATGCTTATAATAGCAGCAGGAAGGCGTGGTCTGCAAACCCTAGACGAGACCACGAGGAGGAAAACTGGATGAATAAAATGAACTGACTGGGTTGGGGTTGGGTGAGAGCGGCTGGTCGGTGGGTGGGGGTCTGGTGGGGAGGGAGGAAGGGACCAAGCAGGACTCTCTTGGACGATGCACACCTGTGTGGCGCTGTGTGTCACCGCCAGGCAGGCAAAATGCATGTGGTACGGGTACAGGTTGCGGGACTGTAGCTGTGGCGACGCGAGCGGTCTTGGCGACGCGCAATTCTGGTGACTCGGGCAAATCGCCGCTAATCGCGGCAGAAATCACGTCGGTGAATCGACCCCCCCCCCCCCCCCCCCCCCCCCCCCCCCCCCCCCACCCCCCTCCCCCCTAAAAAATCGCATCAGGGTGGTACCCAACACTACTCGTTGTTATCAGAGCGAGTACACCAGGTCGGTCTGAAATATCAGTGTTACACAAAAATTCACTTTTTATTGTAAGGGCGCCCTAAAATACAACTCTGTAAAATCAGGGTGAACACCTAAACCCACCCTTATAGTAAGGGCGATAAGGGTGATTTACCCTGATATCAAGAGGCCTGATGCAAAGCCAAGGCATGAGCTTAGGACATGGTGAGGTGAATGGTGACTGACAGTAATGTGCTAATAATTGTGGGATGTTGCGAGTGATATTCTCCAATACCGTGGAGAGGAGAATGGGGAATTTTGCAAATGCTTGTGTTCTCACACAGTAGCGGTACGTTCCACTACATTACAGCAAGGGATATGTAGTAATGAGGTTGAGCAGCAAGAAAGAAGGCACATTTTGCAGCCAGCAAAAAGTCAATCTCAGCCGAGCAAACAGCTCTGCTCTGTCAAAACTAATTTATATGTTTGTAGGCTGTAGTGGGGTAGCACATATAGAGTACAACACTTTTAGGGTTTGGTACTTGTACTTTCTTTCCTGACTAGTGACATCATTCCTGTCTGATAGTTTCTAATGTTGGAAATTCGAATACAATATAACGAATATTGTATACCAGTGCTGTTCGGTTTTAGTGTAGTACTCGTTATAAGCCTCCAGGTCCTACAATAATTGTCACAATTATTGTATGTCCACAATTATTGGAGGTCAGCATTATTGGAGGGTAGAGGGTAGAATTATTAGTACACCATTATTGGTGTGAATGGGGTCCTTTGGTAGGGGTAGATGGAAACATAAATACCCTGGCTGCTGTGAATTATTCAATCATTGAGTTATCATTGTGTCATCCTTCTACTTTTCAATTATCAATGCAAGATTTCTATCTTGTTCTTTTCTACAAACACGTTTCCGCTACGCCGGCACTATGTCTTTCTAGCATAGTATTTGAGCTACTCTAGGGGGCATGCTGCCAAATTTGATTCAGGAATTTACTGGCATTCACTTCAGATAGGTACTTGCATACAGTCAGAGTACTGCACACCCGGTCTACGCTTTCGTACACCTGGTGTTCGTTGTTGGTTACAACCGCGCGTTTACCGCACACTTGGTGGACGGTTTTGTGAAGGTCATGGCGCACTTCGATGGTGAAGTGGATCCTGGATATGCGGCTTTTGAAGAAGCCATCATGGCTCAGCATGAGCACCTGGAAAGCATGATTGCAAAGGCACCACCAGCACTCCAAGCTTCGTTAAAAAGACAAGTTTGGAATGACAATCCAGCCAATGACATCGTTCTCTCAGGAGTCTAGCAATCCGTCCACCCGTGGACACTCTCATTTAATCACTTCACGTACTAACCAAACTCGTGCAAATGTTCATGCAGGAATTGATGGTGAAGGGGAAATGGGCATACCTCAAGGAGGAGAGTCATCCCAAGGGAGGGATGCATCCGTCCAAGGAGAGGAGAAGGCCAATCCCGCACCTCAATCATCCATGCAAAGGGAAGCACGGGGGAGGAATGATGAGTATGGGAGTGCAGTGCATGGTCGAATGAGAAGTGGACAGATTGGGCAGCAGGGTAATGGAAATGGTCAAGTGGGCGTGGAAGGTGTGGGTTTTGCCTCCTACACTATTGCTGCTCCCCCACTACGGCGACTTGCAACTAACTCCCATCCCATTGGAGTTCCTCCCATGGCCAGGGCTCACCTTCGTGGCGGCAATGACATACCTCCACATGCACCACGTCCACCGATAGGAGTACATCCTGTGGGCAGCATGGGACGGATGGGATACGGAATGCAGCCAAGTGGCGTCATGCGACGTGATCAAGTGGAAGTGCTGGAACGTCAATTTGGTGGACAGAATGGGGGCATGCGGCGCACGGTACAACTACCTCGACCGTCAACCGTGCCTACTCTCTTCGACCCCGCTTCACGTGAATACACGGAAGAAGACAAGGAACGGCTGTCACGCAAAATGGTGGGAGCAACGGTGGACAAGGTGTTCACCACTACTCCGTTTGATGGCTCAAACTTCCGGGAGTGGGCACTACGATTTCGTATGAATGCTCGCGTCACGAATCTGTGGGAGTTCCTTGTGACCTTGCAATATCCGGTTACCATGGGAGATGGTGACATTAACGACGCTATGGAGTGGCTGGAAATGCTACAGGCGGATTACTCACAGCGTGCGACACTCGCTTTTTGGGTCCTGCAGCACAGCGTGAGCGCCACGATTCAGCTGCAGCTGGACATGTTTCAGGAATCCTACAGCCCGGCATATGAAGCATGGGAGTATTTAATGGACACTTACTAGACCAAAGATTCGGTGGCGAAGGTCTCTCTCTTGAAGCAGTTGGACAACCTGAAAATGGGGAACACGGAAAGGGTGGAGGAGTACGTCAACCGCGCAACAGCAATCCGTGACAAGTTAGCACTTGCGGGGAAGATGGTGGATGAAGATACCTTCACTTTAAATCTGCTCACCGGACTACCGGTGCATTGGGAGGAGATGAGACACTCGGCAATGTTACACAACGTGACGGACAGTTTTACCTTGCAGCGGATGATGATTCAAGAGCAGAGATATCACGACCTCATCACGAAGGATAACCGTGACCGGCGTCCACCTCGCATGGCTGGACAAGCACATGGTGACCGCTCACCTTCTCCAACTGCTAAGGGCAATAGCGGGAAGATGGAGGGGTCTGTTGAAAAAAAAACGCATGCCAAGGATGGAGATGCAAGTCGCTCATCTCTCGTGTGTTGGTTCTGCAAGAAGCCAGGCCATCCCTTCTTCAAGTGTACCAAGGCACCGCCTGGCTGGTCACCACCAGGGTGGAAACCGCATACCAGTGGAAGGACAAAACTGCACACCAGCAACAGCCGTTTGTTCTCTTGACGAAGGAGTCGCAGCCCCAAGCGTGACAACAACGCGTCGAAACAGCAAGGGGCAGCCGGGGAAGACAAGCAACGTACTGTAACGTGCATTGCAAC